ATATGAAAAGGGTATAATAGGAGACGAAGAGTCAGGCGATGACTCGTGGAGATTTGTGTTGGTAGTATGATTTGAAGAATTACGATGTTTTTCACTTGTTTGTTCACGAGTGTTAGCAGGAAGTTCAGTTTGGGAGTAACGTGTCTGTTTTAAGTCGGTGTTTGAGCGCAGAGATTTCGGCATAACGAATCATTATGACAGACGAGTGCTATACGTTTAGAGTAAACAGCACACAAAAAATAGATAGTCAAATCTTAAGCTACTTTTTCCGTCAATTCTTGATCACCAGGAACAATTAACCTTACTCTGAAGTAATTAAAACCTGGCACACACCTTTGACTAAGTTGTGTTTTGATTAAATAATCTCTTAATATGTGTATATAATATAAGCCAAAATAATACACGAAAAACGTACGACGAATGCTACACTTAATCTTCACAAAATATACGATAAATAAATGATTAGATGAATCGAAGTAACGAGAGAAGAAGAGACGAGATAATCGTCACTTTTTTAAAAAAAACTGGCCAGGCCCCCACTGTTAGTGCCCTACTCCTCGAAAGGCTGATAAAATTAACAGAGACCTAGTGGTACAGCACTGAGAGATCTCCGGACCTGTCTTAGTGGATGAGAGGGAGAGATAGGCTAACTAACAAAGATAATCACTACCCAAGGGCGATGGAATATGCACCTGATAGTGATGAAATAATTATTGATGCAGCAATATATTTTGTAAATGTAAAAAAAATGATAATATGAATAAAGTGTAAAACTACAAACAAGAAAATACGGAAGCACGAGGTCTAACTGTGCACTGACTATATCGACTAAAAAAAGAAGACCAGCCCCGATATAGTATAGAGTGTGAATATATATAGAAAAATGAGAAAGAATGAAAAATGAACAAAATAGAAAAAGAAATGGCTGACTACCTCGAAAGGTCATAAAAGTTCGTGTAAGGCTAGAGATCGAAGAAATGAGAGCTCTGTCTTAACATACCGGAATTTGATATATAGAAATGAAAATATTGGTGAATTATTGACTTTTCTTTTCATGCTTTGCCTTTTGTCTTTGATAGTAACTACTATCATGTTTCTTTTGATAATTATGGTAATCATTATAATTCGAGTCCAACAATGATCGATTTGAATTTTTCATTAGTTATGACTGACTTTCACCGGTATTCAAATTCTCATACACTTCGACAGTTCGTGTTATGTCTGTTTGCATTTGCCCTGCTAACTGCTGCCGTACCTCTGACGCTTTCCGGCAATGCGGTCTCACGACTTATATCCCGAACGGGATATTTATCCTGATCGGTATATAGAGTTTATCGTAAACGGGATAGATATCTCAATCGGAATATAATCAAGATTCGAATCGGGATATCGTTGTATCTCGATCGGACTATATTACTAAACATGTTCAAAAAAGTATTGAAAGTAAATATGATCATCCACTGATCGTCTTAAGTGAAAAGTCTCTTCCAGTAAACTAAAGTAATAACATGAGAAATGATCATTCCAGAATATTAGTATTCTCAGCTACGCAAGACTCTCCAATATGTAGAAAAATGCAAGTAGACTAAGTTAAGTGTAATTTAGAATAGATTCGGAAATTTTATGCCTGTGAAGCTATTTAGTAATGTATTAGGCTTCATTCACGAAAGTAGGTATGCACTAGTACTAGTATTTATACTGGTATACTGGGTCAGTATTTACTGGGTACCCAAATAGTTTAGTTACCCAGTATACTGGGTGCCCACATTGTCTGGTCATTGTAGCAGAAATGTTTGGTACTTAGACAAAGAGATATCATTAAATGCGGGTATTTGTAGATTAACATGTTTCTAGGCCTTACAGAAATTATGCTCTTATGCTATACGAAATGTGGAAGGGCATCTAATACCTAAACTGAATTTTATAAAATAACATAACTACTTACTTTCTCTATAATATTGTTCAATCTGTACGACTAATCCAAGAGACACTCAGTGTTTAATGCATGATATTAAACAAACCCGGGACTCATTATTAAGTCTATCCTCTTAAATTGGGACAGTACTGTGAAAAAAGTCAAGCTATACAATATTAGACGTCGTTCTGAGCTTTATATTGCTTAATAATGTGGTTTCTCTAATGCCTAGAAAATATTAATCCTTAAAACCTCGCATTAAACTTAAACAATATCACTTAATCTTCGCGGGTTTCAAATATTTCTGTTACAAAGCCCTTCAAGCTACAAGCTATTGCTGTGAATTTTTGGCCACCCAGTATACTGGTACTGGTGCATACCTACAAGAAAGACATTGTTTCTTTTCTTCGTTTTCTTTCTGTACTTTGAATTTTTAGTGGGGCAGTAATAAATTACGCTTTTTTCTTCCCCGTTCTCTAGAAACAAATATTGCTTTTTCTTTTCCGCGAAAGAAGAAGCAGCATATCAGCCTTTCAGATCCACGGGAATTTTACCGGGATCTATCTATCTCAGTCCGATTCGGTCTAACAACCTTAAAACAATCTTCAAGTATGGGTTAACGACTATGCTAAACCTCAGGGCAATGTTAGTTTTCAAAATAAAATGCACTAACCGGGTAAAAACCTATACTAGGTGAAATAACCCATTTTGGACTCTTTTCATCAAAGCTCAGTGAATGTTTTAAAAACCAACAGAATATACTTTGGTTTTTGAAAGGCTTTCCAGAACTCTTCGGAATCAAGAGAATAGTTTTTAGTGATTTTAAGTACAGAATCATACTGAGTGGATAAAACAGAGTGTATGATGATATCCTGAACTAGTTTGAATGGTTTTTGTTTTATCAAAAGAAACATGATAGTAGTTACTATCAAAGACAAAAGGCAAAGCATGAAAAGAAAAGTCAATAATTCACCGATATTTTCATTTCTATATATCAAATTCCGGTAGCTTAATTTAAATTTAATTTGACAAATAGCCAAAAACGGTCGACAATTATAGTATGAATGAAATCAAAGCAGAAAATTAATTATTGAACCTATCATTTGCTTGCGATTCTTGCTCTTCTTGTTGAAAAATGATTGATTGATTATATGGATCGATCGGGCTATACAAATTATCCTGATCGGGATTTGTAGACTAATCGGGATATATCGTATTGGACGATCAAGATTTTATCCTGATTAGGATACAAGTCATGAGACTGTACAGTCCGGTGGTAGTTTAAAATGAATTTTCGCTGTCATGGTTGACATTGTTGTTGAAATAATTGATCTGAGAAATGGAGAAGGAAAGAAGCATTAGGAATACAATATAATCTGCTTCTGCTGAACACATTATGGAGCTTGTTTTGAGAAGATGAGTTTAAATTAAACGCCAGACTTACTGGAAAAATCATTATTTGCCTTATGATACCGACTTCCAAGCCACACGGCCTTGGGTGGTACAGAAACTGACGAGCAAACGTGGAAAAAATGTCGAGTATTCTTCTACTCCTAAGTGACATTTTACTGTGTCACGTGCGAGCACTTGCAGAAGACCTTATATTACTTTGCGGGACAGCTTTCGATGCCCAGTACAAATTAAGAGATGATTAGAGCGATAAGAGCTCTTCTGAATGATTTCTGTGGACCAATAAGGTTCAGTTCTAAAGTGACCGGTTTCTGAAACTTAAAGTGGCTGTATGAGCGTTTTTATAGTCAAATGCAGCCTTAAGGAGCGTATGGGTGATTTGGATTCACGTGACAATTTCTGGCGCTCACGGAGGCTTTCATTGAGAGAGCATTGGTTTTCATCTGTAGCACGTACACATATGCTCTGACAAGCTTTTTTGATAAAATGAAGAATTATCAATACCGTTTCATTTTTAGGCATAATTTGACGTTTTGTTAACTACTGTTAAAATTTTCAGAAATGAGCAGTAGTTAACGAAACGTCAAATTATGTTTAAAAATGAAACGGTATTGATAATTCTTCATTTTATCATTCGATGCTTTCACCGTTCGAAATCAAAGATATCAAGCTTTTTTTTGGAATCGCAAATTTGATTTAAAACTCATTTAGAATTATCAGTCATCAGACAAATTATCTGGTGGTGAAAAGCAGCGTGTGGCTGTTGCTCGAGCTTTAATTTCAAAATGTAAAGTGTTATTAGGCGATGAAGTTACATCTGCTTTGGGTAATTAATATAGATACAAATGCTGTGACTGCTTTTTGATGCTTCACTCGAATCTTTCATTTATAGATAACCAAACAGAAAGAAATCTTCTAGTGACACTTCAAAAAGCAAAAGTAGAATTAGGTCTGACAATTGTTGTTATTGCACATCGTTTGTCAACGGTTATCAATGCAGATAATATTGTCTGTATGGAACATGGGCGTGGAATTGTTGAACAAGGTACACACGCACAATTAATGGAAAACAATGGTTTATATAAACAATTTTATATGGCACAAAAAATGAAAGAAACTCTACATCAAGGTAACAAGAAACTATAAAACATCGCTTTTTCAAAACTGGCTAACTATTTTCCACTTACAAGGGAATATTATCAGATGTCTACATCCGTTTTCGGTAATATAGTGGCCATGGAGGTAAAGTGTTCTAGTAAAAAGCCTAAAAAGATTTGGGTTCTTGTTGCTTCTTTCAAAAGTTATGAATTTATTTCTTTTCGGCAAAATTTGTTTCAACCCAAAGCAACATTATCATTTGTTTTATTAATTCCATGGGGCGGTATTAATGAACCTAAGCACCATCTAGAAAAAGTTTTAGAGTGGTTTTTGTTATTATCTAAAAAGTCCGACGAATAAAAAATCTACCTGTCGTCGAAAACGAGCAACAATTTAGCACCAATAGTATAACTATAAAATCAAGATATCGTCATGTCGAATGTAAAACGGGTCGTCCTATTTCCCACGCAGTAGAGGGAGGAACAGAGTCATATTCTGAAACTTTTGGTTCGTTCTAATTTGATGAGCCTTTTTAACTCGTAAACTCAAAAGATCCTACGAAAATTTCTTAGAGGTCCCTGTTGTAATAAGCAAATAATCATTCAATCGAAATTTAGGCTCTGTGTCTT